TTTTTTTTTTTTTTTTACGAATTCATATTCACCATATATCACTTGTACACTTGTAACGGTGTAAGAGCCAGTCACTATCGAAACTATGTTAAAAAAAAAATACTATCTCGATTTTTATTATTTCTACGTTTAGGTTTTAACATTAAATACGAAACGTTTCGCTTCAGTGAAGCGAACATTTTTTTCTACGTTAGTTTATACGTATACGCGCTGCCATGTAACGAAGTTTCTTCTTATAACTAACTTAATAGAGTAATAATTTAAAATATACGAGTAAAATGTCGATTATCTTTCGATGGCTATTTCATCAAAGATAAAGCTATTTATATGTATTTGCATCGTGCAAAAAAGGAAAAAAAGGAAACGCGTAACGTATTCGTGGAATAATACGCGGAAAAATATTCTCAGATATGCCGAATATCGTATTCCTCTTGGAATAAATATTTGAAGCGTGTACATCTCTTCCCGAGATTTCGTTCTTCATCGTTACAATATTCAAAGAATTTTTGAATTTTATATATGTTAATACACGATGTTTCGATTCTTTTCGAAACATTATATTCGCCATTCTTTCCCTCTCAAAAGAAGATATCATCTTTGTTCAATTTCCAATTTTGATATTACGGAAAATATGTTGACGATTGATCGATAATTGACATTTTATTAGAAGAAGAAGAAAGAAGAGGTCGAAATATGTAAATTCGTAGTGAATAAAAAGAGAAAAAAAAAAAAAACGACTAATTTGGTTTCAATCTTTCATTTATGCAATTAAATTATTTCTTTATATTAATTATACAAAGTGATTAAGATCGAACAATGTATAAAGGAATAGTCAGTAGTTTTGTGATAGCATATAAAAGATTATAATATAGTATATTTAATATTAACGTATAAACACGTAGATATAAACATGTTTATATAAATTATTTCTCATCGATGAGATAATTGTATTTTTTTACAAAATTAATTAGCATTCCAACTTTTTGTATATGTGCGAGTAAATTGTAATTAATATTATATCTACCGCCCTTCTTACACACGAATATTCTCTCTCATTCGAGCTAGCGAATACACGAGAGAAATATGTCGAAACACGAACTCTAATTGTCTTCGATCATTTTCATTTTGGAAAATAAGAGAACGCGGGAAGAGAATGAAATCGTTGGTTCCGTGGAGATAAGTCAATACTCCTGTAAATATATTTATTGGCATGTTAAATAAAAAATGCAATCTTTCGATCAATTCAATCGATCCTTTTCTTCCCTCCGTCAGAAGTATTCTTTGTCCAATCTCTATATTCGTTCTAACAATTATTTCACGCTTTCTCTCTCTCTCTCTCTCTCTCTCTCCAATTGTAAGAAAATACGCATCTTCATTTCTTTCTACGCGTATTTCAGCGAATGAAATGTAAATATCGACGCACGCAAAGTCGAAGAAAAAATGAATCGAGGGAATTTTATTTTTTATTCTTTTTTGTAAAAGAGCTTTTCCGATGTATATGATATTTCAAGCTCGATGAATACAGAATCTTGTTCACAGGATATTAAATATCTTTTCATACGATCGTTGAATCGATTTTTTTCAAAATGTTATATCGACAGGCACAATTCGCTAAACCATATTGAATCTTTGCAATTACATTACATACGCGTAATAATATAAATATCTCGACGTATGAAACAAAAAAGGAGAAAGAGAGAGAGAGAGAGAAAAAAAGATTTGAGCTCGACAGAAGCAGTTACAAATTTTCTTCGCAAAATATTTTTCACCGTGTTTTTATTCAGCTGTTATTTTCAGCCTCTTTAAAGCTAATTCTAGAGGTGCTGCTAGCTTAAGTTCATTACATTATCAATCTCGTTGCGTTTAACAACACGCAAGATACCCGCGAAACCAGATGCGAAAAGCTTTTGTTGAAAAGCGGCAAGGCGAGTGTAAAGTGTAAGTTTGAAATAAATTTTTTTATTTGCTATATACTTTTTATACAAATATAATTTTATGCGAAGATACAAATAAGAAAAAGAAGAAAAAGTTTTCTGACAAAAATACAACGCTTAAGGAATAAAATATATAATTCTTTGCACGATCGTTAATCGTGCGACGAATTTTACGTATTCAAATTCAGATCGATATTAAATTTTGATTGTAAATCTCTTCGAAAGTGTTCTCGTTTATGTACAATGATGACTTTTATATATCATTTATGTATATGATAAATATCAAAATTTATCGATCTCTAAGATAAATATTTAATTCGTAATTCGATTCGTTCAAGAATTACTTATATAATTTATACAAAATTATATTCCATAGTAATTCCCACATCGATGATATAAAATTAATCTTTATATATATATCTGATGTGCCTGTTCAATTTTTATTATAATTATGATATGAATATTGATCGTTATCAGCACCTCTAGCGAATATCATCATTAAATAGATAAGACACGCGTATTAATTGTTACGCGTTACGACTTACTTACAAAAGAACGAATCTTTTCTTTTTTTTTTTCTTTTTTTTTATAAATCGCATTTTAATTCTCGTATTCTACACACTTATAGAAAAATATTAGTACGCACCTTCTCAAGTTCATCAATTATCTAGGGGGGAAAAGACGCGTATTTCGTTTAATCCTCCCTTAATCATCTTCGATTCGATCGAAATGAATGCCGAATCGAGGAGCGAAATAATAACACAAAGTACATCTGATAATATGATTATTCGCAATATCAAGCGAAACGTGTTTTTTTTTTCTCTTTTTTCTTTTATGTTCTTTTTTTTCTTTTTTTTTTTTTTTCCTATACAATATTCACTCAACACTCGAGAGGAAACATTGTTGTTCCGAAACGAACAGCATCCCTCTCGCGAACATTTCATCAACTCGTCCTGCGGCGAATATTGTTTTAGCGATGATTATTTTCCTTACTTACCCAATACCAATAATTTTTACTCGTCGAAAATAATCGTTCGATAACGCTTTCGTCTGCTTTGTTGGACGAGGGAAAGGGGAAGAGGGAAAGAGGCAAAAAGAGAACAAGAGTGGGGGGATAGATAAATGATCGAGAAGGAGGGGGATTGAGAGGAGTTTGGCTCTTGGATTATGAAACGCACCAGCTGCATATTTTTCTTTTTTTTTTTTTTTTCTTTCTTATAATAATATATCTTTGTCCCTTTTGATCGTTCGATATATAAGGAGGAGACGAACTGTCGCGCGTACGAACTTGACGCACTTAAAATACTTTGTACAGCGTGATTATTGCACATTGTCTTTCGTGGAGCGTAGTTACACGGTCCCGCGACACCAGCGACACAAAAGTCACGGAATCCGTCAGCCAGCTCTCTCGACCGGGGGACTCGTCGTGGCGGCGACTGGATTCGTTTGTTTTTGTTGAATCTGTTCCGGATGATGAGCTGGTCTCGCCGTGCAACGTACGCGCAACAACCCGTAAGGCAACCACCCGTTGGTCGAGTGCACCGCTCCATTGTTCTTCCTGCTGTCGGCGGCCTCGCGTTGCGCCTGCAACCGATGCAGCATCGCGCCCGCGACAAGCGCAGAAATGACCGCCGAGAGCGCCACCACGATGAAGAGGGCGCTGAAACCGGGCATGGGCAGGCAGATACCGTACACCACTTCCTCCCGTATTCTGCCTTGAAACACGGTTACCGCTTCCGCGTGTGTGTCCGGGCTGAACGCCAGATCGGCCTCGGAGATCACCTCGTATAAGCCGCTCACGCCGACGTCCGCGCTACGGATCTTCCTATCCGACACAACCACCGACCTCTTTCGTCTGCCGTTAGGGGACGAGAGCGGTGTCACGCTCGGTATCGTGTCCCCCTCCAGATTGCGAGGGCCGTGAGGGAATTTGTCTCGATCGCTCTCGTATCGCGTTACCCGTGCTGGATCCTGGAAATAATGGGTGAAAACAAGCTTCGTCTCTCTCTCCCTCTTTTCCATGATGGTAATAATAGTGATAAAAAGGAAAGAAGAAGTTGGCGCGAACTCACATGGAACGGTCGGCTCGTAGGATCGGTCGTCTCGTCCAGATGAACTTTGTCGTTCGGTATCTCGACCACTGGCGCTGGCAACCGGTTGCTCGTTTGCGCCTGCGCCTTCGGTACCGACTTCTCCACCCCCAAGAAAGTCAGACTCTCTATCGAAGTCATCTCGTCACCGTCCTGAATGATGTCATCGTAAAGGGAGCCATCGGCCTGCTCGCCCCCACCTCCCGCGTTTTCGTTACCCTTGTCGGCGCTGTTGTCATCCTCGTTGTTGTGAACGGTGGGAGGTATTGTGGTTTGCGGGTACTGCGGTCGTATCTGATCCTTGCGCTCTTGAATGTAGTGGCCGACGGATCCGCTGAGCTGACAGTGATCCAAACACCCGTGACGACAGATCTCAACCTTGACATTGATCGAAACAATTTAACCGCTTTCGTCTTCCTCTCTCTCTCTCTCTCTCTCTGTTTTGCGCGCAAATTTGCATAACGAACAGGCAAATCATTCGATCGTTCGTTCAAGATCGATCGTCTCGTTTACCGAGTAAATTCGTTAAAAACCGCTCTTCTACTTGTTTAATCGTAAATATTTGCTCTTTACTTTGTCGGACACCACTTGGAGCGGTGAGAAGGAAAGGTAAAGGCTGAAAGGCCAACTTCACCAACGCGTTTCACAATATTTTCGATAATACTTTTGCCTTTGATCGTAAGCTGTTTTATCCGTTGTATATTTATATCCAACATCGTTTACCTTGCACTTGATGTGCACGCTTAACGCGTCCGGGAACTTGAACGCGTGAAAGAAGGCGTAAGTGATGACCGTTGCGCGATCGTCCGAGCCCCGCGCCTTCAAGAATCGGCTGATCATCTTCGGCCTGAGCACGCATCCGAACTCGTCGCTCAGCTGTATCGTGTGCCCGCCGCCGTCGGACGCCACGCAAGACTTGACGCGCATGTCGAATTCACCTGCGTGTGCCCGCCAAAATTATCATGGATTAAACGCATACATTAGATTCCGCCAATTTTTCCAATTTTTGCCCCGTTACCTCGATAATCGTTTATGGCGACGACCAGGGTGAGGGTGGAGCCGAGCGGCACTATTCCGGAGACGGGCGGCGCCCATGGTCCCTTGCCGTGCTGAATCTCCATCCAACAGTCCACGTTGTCGCCTGCAACACCATACGCGTCTCTATCTTAATTCGACGATCGATCGATGTCTAAGCATATAAAACGCGTGCATAAAGGGAAGTTGAGTTGAAGCGCGGCTGCGGTTCTTAACCTGTGGTCAACCGCCGCTACACGAGTTACCGTGCGATCATTTACCTCGTGTTAAACTCTTTGCACAAGGGGGATCACCGTTTCATCCATTTGTATCGTATATATATGTATACATATATACATAGATTCGCGTGCAATTTCATCGAAATCGCTTCGAACGAACAACTGCGATTAAAATTATATCGCACGGACACGCACGGTTTCCAAGCTCTCGAGAGAAGGATCTCAGAATGCCAGATGGAACGGTCGCGTTTATTAAAGTCGATGAGAGTGGAAAAACCGTACCTCTGAAATCTAACTGGATCACGTCGAGATCTGCGATGACCATCGGCGGTTTCGAAGCGGTCTTCTCGTAATCGTTGAACCACTCGCAACGCAATCGTTTAGCCTCGTCCCACACTTCGAGCAGGTCTTTGTCGTATTGAACGACGACCGTATTCTCGTAGAATTGTCCGTGCATGTCTGGCTTGGTACCGCATCTGCGCATTTCAATCACATCAGGGATAAAATTCGATGAAAATTAATCTATCTCGGCTAAAGATAAATAATCGATAAATAATTTCGGTTGAGAAAAGAAGAAAGAGGAAAAAAAAAAAAATATCAAATCCGATTAAACGATTCTCTCGCGTGCGCGGCGTAATCGATTAACCGTTGCCGCGCGCATATCTTCTTATCGAATCGAGTGCGCGCCGCGAGAGAGAGAGCTTAAGCTATAAAGATCGTTTGACGGATAGAGATGGACAAGTACAAGAGATCTTACCTCGCGTAGGCTATCCGAAAGGAGAAGAAGGTCTGGCCGGTGGACGGTGGAACGTAGACGCATCGCGGATCCGCGTGTTGGCCTTTGGACGAGACGATGCCCTCGAAGGGTTGGGAGAACGAGAGATGTACGTCCATGTGATCCTTTCCACACATCACTTCGAGGGATTGTATGGCTGGCATTCCCTCTGGCCTTTCCAGCGGCCAAATGTCGCTGCTGCTACCAACGCTCTTCAAGCCAACCACCTGTGCATTCAACGAATACGTTTTTATACCTTGAACTCGACGACCTCTCTCTCTCTC